CTCACACTCGGTTTTGTCTCTCACACGTGGTTCTGTCGTCTCACACTTGGTTCTGTCTCTCACACTTGGTTCTTTCTTCTCTAACTTCCTGTTTTCTCCTCCTGCAGCGACGTCTAACGGCACCATGGAGGGCATCGACAACCAGGAGGGAGGAGTCTGCAAAACCAAGTCCATGAAGATCGTCATGAAAGTGGGACAGAGTGAGTTCTGATGCACTTATCTACAGATGTTGGTGTCTGCAGGGGGAGACGGGTCGGGTCATCCGAACTTTTACACCACAGTCACTGGAAGAATTTTAGGTCCAGCCTGTAGATGAAGCAGCTTCATTGAACCAGAAGACACTTCACAAATGACTCATGGGCAGATTTATAACATATTTTTACTTAACTCAGAGAATATTGTGTTGCCAATTTAAAAAAAATGTCGACATTCATGAAATTTTGGACATTTTTATATTTATTACCAAAATGTTACTAACCCTCTCCTTTATAATTTGCGTTTTAGATGGAAAAAATGTTACAACATATAAAATAAAATTGAGAAAAAAAATCTTACATTAAAATATGGGTGAGTTTTATAATAGAGGACAGTTACAGTGCTGATTATAATTATCTGTGTCTATGGATTTATACGGACACACACTTCTGAATAAAAAACAGTTATTTTAGGAGCAATGGTTCTCAGTCCGTGGGTCTGGCCCCTTAGAGGGGGAGGCCTGACTATTTTTAGGTCCTGAACAGTTGTATGTGGATCCATCCATCCATCCATCCATTCTTCCATCCATCCATCCATCCATCCATCCATCCATCCATCATCTTTACCCGCTTCTTCCTTTTCATCCATTGCCATCTTGATGTAAACCGTAAAAGTTAACCCAGTTGTAGAAGTACATTAAAATGTTTTGTTAAAATCTATCCACTGGTTCACGAGATATTTTGTTAACAAACGCAGACATTCAAATACATGATCACTTGCCTCTTATGGCAGCAGGCGGTAACATTTAAATGATTCCTACCAACTCTGCAGCAAACGACCGTCCTCTGCCTGACTGGCTCAGATCCTGAAGGTCTGACCCAATCCTGCTGTGTTTTCATGCCTAATGTGGATAAAATGATGCTGCATTCAGGACAACTCAGAAATATAGGACAAACCCCCGTCTCATATTGATTAAAAACAGGTCGCACATTATTTATGTGGAACATGGGACGATGCTATATTTTTAGATATGTGTGGTGACATTTTCAAGAATGTGGATGAGCACAATAAAGCCCAAAGGCCATCTTGACTTTTATTGCCCTCAAATGCAAATAAAACTGCCTAAAATAACCAACACAAGCAGAAAATTTCAACAAATTACTAGCTATGTTTTGGCTCATTTATGGCAGAGGTGATGCCTGCATTAATAATAATAATAATAATAATAATAATAATAATAATAATAATAATA